TCATGCCTTTGTTGCAAACCCTAGCTTTCACTACATCTTCAAAATTTCTTCATCAAACTGAGAAGTTACTCAGCCAATCATGCTCACTAAACCTTCGATATTTATTTATAAAATATTTTACCAGGAAAGATACATTGAGATTTCTCTCGTTTTCAAGTATGTCCTGGGTCCACAAATCATTGCATTGTTACATTAGAGTACAATAAAATACAAAAACAATATTAATACACAATTTATACAAAATTTAACATAGAACAGGTAGGAAATATATAATCAACAGGTGCATTCTGTTTTGAGGTATGTAGAGAGGGATCTCTTAAAGGACTTTAAGGACTGGGGAAGATTTGAAAGTGTGTGTGAGGCCGTTCCATAACTGTGGTGCTCTGTAGGAGAAGGAGGTCGGGCTGCTTTCTTTTTGTATTGAGGTAGACTAAATAAATTGCTGGTACTGGATCAGAAGTTATAGGAGGTGGGTTTGCGGTGCAGGTGCATATACTACATCCCCATAATCAATGATTGGCATCGGCTGTACAATCTTTTCCTTTACTGTAGGGCTTAGGCAGGATTTGTTTCTGTACAGGGCACCTCGTTTTGGATAAAGTTTAGATGCAAGTTTTTCTATGTGGACAGCAAAACTTTACAAAATAAAACTCGTCAGCATAACCAATCTACATGCACCAGGAATGTGTGTGGGGGGGGGGGAGGGTGTCTTCATTGTAACGAATGTAAATAACTACATGGACCTTAACTTTCCTGAGAAATTCAGCCATAAATGTATCAATTTTAAAGCCAGATATGAAGACAGTTTTGGGACATATGGGGGAGGCAGGTTAAAATTTGCCTGATTTAGCAATGTTTCAATGTTTGCAATTCCCCTGACTTATGTGGCTGCAACAACAATGTTACCCTGTGGGAAGAATCATCACTTAAACCCACTGAGTGCACCTGCTCCACTGCCATATACTAAATAGGCCGCCTGCCACGATTGCAAATTACTTGGACACCGGAAAAGATGCTGAATCCTTTCCAGGATGAGCAGTATTGTTTGCTTGTAAATTGAATGTGAGAGTTAAAATAGACACGCCAACCCCCTCTCGCCACCCCCCTCCCAATAGATTAGTGCTCTCTTCCATTGACAGATTAGCACTAGGAAAGGAATTAGCTATAATTAAGTCCAAGACAAGCCTCAAAACCTAATCATTTGAAAAGTAAAGAGCACAGACGCAACCAACGCTTATTTATATGATTTTTCAGAGAATCTAAACAAAACAAAAAACCCTCGCTGTATCTTTATCTACCTGAACTTTTTGCATGGGAAGTGCTTCCACTTTGTAGACACTTGGCGTGTGAAGAAAGAAGAAATCAAAATTTGTAAACGGTTTTGGTGGAATATAAATAAAATAATAATTCTACTGGATTATGAAAGTATTAATTATCAGGAAAGTAAAATTGTAAAAAGCTGAAAAGATTCTCCAATGTCAGCCATGTTTTTGGCTCAATGACTAGGACCTCAAATTTTTTATTCACTTTGAATTCACAACAATTTATACTTTAAACTATAATCTTGAAAGTAAGATTCTAAATTTTTAGACTATATGTTTATTCCCCCGCCCTCCCACACATCTTCGTAAAAAACCTTGTTTCTAGCACCAGGACAGGGTCTCTGCATTATTTTTCGTTTTCCAACTTCACATCCAATGCAGTGCTTCTCACAGAGACATACACCCAGACCACTTCATTAAGATACAAGTGTATTTTTCTCAAACTGTTCTGTGACGCTCTTAGACAATCGACGGCACGCCTGTTTTGGGGCTTCTTTTTTCAAGAAGCGGAGAAAATCAGGACAGCCGCACAGCTAAATGGCACGGGGTTCATGACTTTGGGGTTAAACCGCTTTTGAATTATTTAATACCTATAAGGTAAGCTGTATGTAAAAAGTTAGTCTGATTGCTTTCTAAAAATAGTAAATCAACAGTTCAATACTATATGTAAAAAGGGAATTGACCAATTTAGGGCATTTCAGGCAACCGGAATATTTGCCCTCGGGTTGGGAGTTGGATGTTTTCAGTTCACCCAGAAAATCAGTTTATAAATAAATTCTCAGAGAATTTAAAATAATTTTAGGCAAAACAGCCAAAAGGTAAGTATAGGTGACTTAAAGGGACACTGTAGTCACCCAGACCACTTCAGCTCATTTAGGTTTAACCCTCTAATTGTAATTATTGCAGTTATTGATAAACTGCAATAATTACCTTGCATGGTTAACGCCACTTCCAGTGGCTGTCTACCAGACAGCCAAAAGAGGTGCTTATTGGTGGTTAGATAAGTATTGGTGGCCTGACATTGGATGTCCTCATGCTTTGCATGAGTCCATCCAGCGTCAGTTAAACCCCCATAGGAAAGCATTAATTCAATGCTTTCCTGTAGGGGTAGTCCTAATGCGATTGTGGCACTATATAGTTTCCCTTAATTTTTCAATATGGCTATTTTGCCTTACATTTTAAGTTCAATTTGAATTCTTACTTTAATTAATAGCCTTGACAGTCTTTGGTGACATCCATATCTACATGAAATGGATACCGATAATGCAGAAGTGAAACTTCTGCACAAATAGTTCTGGAGAGCAGTGACAGGGCCTCGGAGATCCCCTGGTTTTGGTGGCACCATTCAAACAGTTCGACCAACCAATGGTAAGGTGTCCACAGTCTAAAAGCACCATAACCACCAAGTGCAGCCCTGCTTAACTCTATAGAGCAATTCAGACTCTGCTGCAGAAGCAGGAGATTAATGCGCTCTGCAAAACCCAGGTAAGTTGTCGTGAAGTTCTAAAAAAATGGGTTTGACTACTTACCATGGGACAGCACTATGCCACTCATGGCACTATAAGGCTTTAGTGGTTATGGTACTTGGCGCATTACTTTAACCAATGGCTGATTTGTTACTTTAATAGACATATTCTATAGCGTGCCACAAACTATAGGTGTGTGCATATGTCCTAAATGAGACAGTGATCCTATAAATTAGTCATAGTTACAAGTCTGAATTCTGAAATGAGCAGGTCTCTACCCTGACCTTACACCTCAAAATAAACAAATAAATCACAAAACTACAAATGGTGGGAAAGTGAAGTACTCTTTGGATGTAGTTACATATGTTTTCTGCATAAGTCCAAGCCAGTTTTAGGTCTAATGAATGCTATTAAGTATTAATACTAACAGAGTTATTTATTAAAATGAGAATTCAAAGAGAATTTCAAATGTAAGGCTAGAGCAGCCAAACTGAAAACATAGGTGACAGAATTTTTCCACTTCTGATATTTTGACCTTAAAAGGAACACTATATAGTGTCAGTAATACAAAAATGTATTCCCGACACTACAGTTGTAAAAGCGCTGCTGAGGTGTCCGGCCCCACTTCACCCTATTCTGTCTCGTCCAAACTGTCCCCAGCTCCACTTCTCCTACTTGGCTGAGATCATCAAATTTAACGATCTTAGCCAATCCAAAGCTTTCCCATAAGAAAGTATTAGGAGACTATTGCACATGAGTAGCAAAACCATGCGCTGCCCAAACAGCATCTCCTAACCAGTGCATCTCTATGGGGAGTGTTTAGCGTCTCCATTCGGAGCATGGAGGTCTTAACATCAGTGCTGCACACTGCACAGCTCTGACCCAGGAAGCACCTCTAGTCTGAGTGACTGCCACTGGAGGTGCCCCTTGGGAGCAATGTAAACACTGCCTTTTCCCTGAAAAGGCAGTGTTTACTTAGAAAGCCTGCTGGGACAGACTGTAGACACCAGAACAACTACTTTAAGCTGTAGTGGTTATGGTGACTATAGTGTCCCTTTAAATTTCACTTGAATTCTCACTTTAGTAAATATGTCAGTATCATGAAAATCAGAGAGCATGATATCCATGACACAAACTACTCATATAACCATTGGGTACCTGGGAAAATTCATAAATATACCAGTGCCAAGATCTAGAAAGTGAGAATGAAATACCTAGGGAGACTGCCAATGTAGAGACTAATATAGCTTAACAGACTAGTGATAACATAAATCTTCAAACAGAAAGTGGACAACGAGACCCTGGCAAAAAGAGACTGATCCACAGACAGATCATTCCCAAATCTAACTGTATCCCCCGAGTGGTAGAAAGGCTGTCCAGAAAATGGGATCACACATTCCTCTCGAGCAGGCAGACTGTATGTAATGTGCTGGCTTCCAGTTTGAAGGGGAGGGGGAGGCACAGAAACATACACCAGTGATGCCTAACCTTTGTAGCTCCAGTTGTTCTGGACTACATTTCCCTTGATGCTAACCCAACCAAATGGCTAGCCAAGTATCAAGTGATGTATAACCCATGACAGCTGAAATACCAATGGTCAGCAGTCAATGATTGATACAGTCTATTAACTGATGGCTAGTAAATATTTCAAATCACAGGAATCCAGGAACTGGCTGGGAGAAAGGTTTATACAGACACCAAACAGTACAACAGGTTTAGTAATAAAGGAAGGTTGTAGGAATAAAGCAACAATACTAAGCATGTAGTAAAGTGGAAAACAAAACAAACAAAAAAATAAACGTATTTACAAAATATAATAAATCAATAGTATAGTCATAAATTAAATATAGTAATAATAAAACAGGATGATGATAAGCCAACAATAATAATAATAATATAGTAACAAACCAGTTATAAGTATAATAATAATAATAATAATAATAATAATAATAAGATGAATCAGTAAGAACACAATAATAATGATAAAGATTATAGTAATCGGTAATAAGGGTATAATAGATCCAATAAAAATTGATTAGTGATATAATACTAAACAATCAGTAAAAAGGACATAAATCTAATAATAATAATAATAATAATATAGTAATTAGCAACATAATATTATACAATCAGTAATAATAGTATAATATTTAATCGATTAGAAGAATATGGTTATTAATCAGTAATAGATGAGAGGCTATTGATTATGGTATCAGTTTTGGGATATGATGATGACCCCCCTCTTGGCCCAGAGACCCCCGTTATGAGACATGGCCATTCCTAGCCATAGGCCTGAGAGGACCAGCAGCTGCTGATACATCCCATGCAGCCCCTCTCTCTCCATAGGATTAGAAGGCAGGAGAGCCCCCCTGCCCGGGCTGTGCAGGGTACATGGCCGGCTGCCCCCCTCCCCCTGTGTCAGTATACAGTCAGCGGACACAGGGTACTCACCGTCCAGCGCTCACTGCTCCATGCCCCGTGAGGGCTGCCCGGTAATCCCGCTCTCCATCCCTCCACAACCACAGCCACACTGGGCTCTAGCAGAAAGCCAGGAGGCGGGACTCGGGAGCTAAGCGACGTTACATCCCCGCTCAGCCAATCGCAGCGCTCCTCTCGGAATCGGTCGTGTTTTCCCAGACAGCGACGCCCGCTGAGCTAGAGTGACGTTGACAACAGCCAATCAGAGTGCGGCGAGGGGGCACTGCCAGCCAATGGGGTGCAAGGGATGGGAGTTCTGAGAGCTGCTACATTGTATATGTGTGTGTTCGATGTGAGGAGGAGGATTAGCGGATTCTATCCATTTATTCCCAGGCTGTGCAATGGGAGAACCAGGGGCTGGCTAAACCTGGCTGTACAGACAAAGCCAGCTCACAGGGGGGGATATCTCTATAAAGGGAAACAAAGTCACTTCTCACTAAATTACAGCAGGAATAAACCATGCCAAATCATTTATGGCATGTCCATGCTGTGCTCATTTTCCTTTAATTCTCATCCAATCACAGCTCGGTCCTGGCACAGCCATGGCACACAATGGGCAGGAGGGGGTGAAGCAACATTGGGGGTTATGTATACACGGTGTCATGTCCACTTCTTAGGATGTTTTGTCTGTTTGCAATTCATTATTTTATTTATGGCAAAATGTTCCATATTGTGCCCCTTCTGTCATTTTATTTTCTTACATTTTTTTTCCTTCACACATTTGTCAGCGTCAATCCCCTCCCCACACCCCCCCCCTCCCCCCCAAAAAAAATTGCAAAAGTGTTCATTTTCTTTCACATTTCTCCAACACCGTCGATATGACAGGTTTTCTGAGACAATTAAAGCTGTTTTGATGTTCTTTGTTTTTCTCTAAAGCAGTTCTGTCACACAGTAACTTTTTCATATCTACTTTGGCCTTAAAATGGAAATTCCCCTTTATTTCCTGGTAATTCTCACTTTGGTAAAAATCCATGACAGTGTCAAAACAACTAGTCAGGGTCTAGTGAAACAAAATACAGATCAGTGTAATCCGGGTAAAGGCAGGTCAGAAAATCGTAAAAGAAAATGTAAAAAAATCACATTTATGTGATGCTCAACCATAAATAGCCAGATAATCTCATCATGAATTTTGGTTTTTCTAATCTAGATTATAATTTTTGGTATTGTCAATTCTCCACAATTCCTGGTTTAGTGAATAGCTTTTTAAAGTGCTTTATGAAAAAAGCACTTTTGGTTACTTCTGTGTTATATAGACTGTAAGCTCGTTTGAGCAGGGTCCTCTTTGTTGAAGAAAATAAGGCACGCAAAAACACTGGTACAAATCAAGAGGATTATTAATGAACAATCAAGCAGGATTACAAAACAAAGTAATTCAGCTGGCGTGCACTACGATCAGATAAAACAGTCTTTAAACTTTTTGAAGATGTCCCAGAAATGTGGTTTGACCAATCCAAGTCTCTGCACATTCTCCAACTCTGAGTTTCTTTATCTCGTCCTCGCGGTACTTGGGTGGCTGATGTAGCATTTGAGAGTAAATTTGTGCACGCAAACAGAATAGATGAACCAAGCAGAAGCATTTTTTGTTTGATATAGCTTTTAAGCCTCAATTTGATATTAAACACAGGGAAAGATATAGGCAGTTAATATTTTCTTTAACATCTTTAAACTATCGTTCCTGTAAGTTTTCTTGTAATTGTCCTAGTTATAGTTAAATCGCCCCTCTCATAATATTGTAAAGCACTATGGAATCTGTTGGTGCTATATAAATGAAAATAATAATAAACTTATTGGAGCTTTTTTTAAACAAGTCCGGCTGGACTTAGGAATGAATTTTGGATTCTTTTGTAGTTTATCCTCTCTGCAACTACCTTAATCAAATATATATTTTCTTAAAAACAATTGATGTTTTTCTATAAGAAAATCAATGCAATAAAACCATTTAATTGTAATATGAACTACACTTTATGTCTCCAATTAAGATACAGTATAATCAAACAACTAACACAGTTTATAATTTGGCAGCATGCTCAGTTTTATGGCGTTGTGCATGTGGCCTTTAAGAACTCTACAAGGATACATACATACATACTTACTTGATTTTTTTTTTTGTGAATATCTTTTTATTTAGACAAGAGAATCCTCTCGTTAGTTTTTTTGTATAGAATATAACACATCACAGATTAGTACAAGACTCGCAGGTCTGTATCAGTTAAATGTGAAACTGTGAAACGCGCAGGTTCCATGAACATGTAAGCAACATGTGAGACGCGCAGGTCCCAGTTTTTTTTGCATAAACATATTTTGAAAACATTTTACCCATAGTTATATGCATAGCACAGCACTTCAGCATAAGTCATTTCTGTGCAAAAATGTGGATGACCAAAGTAGTAGATGTAGATGTAAATGTGGAATTGTTATGCAAAATCCCAGAAGATACCAAAATCTGGTGTCAAGAAGTTAGGTTTAGACAAAGTAATCTTTGATTGCAGTTCTGAGAAACATAAAGTGAATATAAATTAGCAGCTGATTTTGTCTATTTTTAAATTGTTGCACGACTCCTGAAATTTCCTTGTGGGGAATGAAACAAAGAAAAGTTGATTGGAGAGGAAGATTACCAATCACCCAACACTTGTTGACATTTATTTGGTCTATGTTTTAGTAGCAGAGTTAAATTTAGAGATCTAATTTGAGTGTCTTGTATCGGTGGCAATTAGAGTAAATTAGCAGCTGTTCGCGCATACACAGCAGTGTGATTAAGAATTGATGAATTGGGGAACACATTTTACAAGAGTGTTCTTGTCTAACATCGAAATATTATTATAGACACATTTTTATCTTTACACGGGACAAGAACAAACCTTTACATAAATCATTCAATCTACATAAATCATCATATCTACATTATAAATTATTTCTGTAAAAATTTAATTACATCAATGTTGTGATTGCAGCAAACAGACAAAATACAACATTGTTTTCATACACACAGCAATAAATGTTTCAAACAGTCAGCTACAACAAACTTGAATATTGTAGTATCTGTACAGTCACCCTTCAAAATATTCACTTAGCATACATATTTTTTTGTGAATTTAATTTTTTTATTGATTTTCAAGAGAACTACTGAGATAGGGCCCGCAGGTCACTGTAGTAATCAAAGTTGGAGGCCTTGCAGGGTTGCTATTGAGGGCATGAACAGAAATATGGGCACACAGGTCCTTTACAGAGTGTAATATGACCTGATATGGGAAATACAATTGTTAGGCAGGTCTGAAAATCACGTAATTATTTACAATATTCTGGGAATTTGAATAAACAGGACAGGGTAAGCGTTATTGAAATACAGATGCACTAACTTCTCCTTTCTAAGAAACATTGAGGGTTCATTTATAATCTGAAAGTCAAACATTTTTTGCAATGTCAGTATGTTTGATGTTTTTCTTCTAAATGGACACAAAGCACTGTAGTTTCTGCTTGCAGATAAAACTCCTAGATTTAGAGTGTAGAGTGAACGCATTGCAATAAAGAATGATTGTCTTACTTACAAAATCAAGTTTGTTCTAATTGAGCTCTTAGATATAAAGCATCTGTTAGACCTTCTCCAACAAGCATGGGGTGGCAGTACGATTGTCAGATTACCTGGTACTCAGACTTTGTCCTGTGGAACCAAGCATCATTCCATCAGCAATTTGGAATCAGGACACTCACTTTGCTTCCTTTTGTTCTGATCACTCTTATGTCATTCTGTAATCAGTTCCCTTTCTATAAATGCTCACTGCTTAGTCTAGCCTGTGCCCTGTTGTGGTCCTTGCAAGAGGCTGTTCTACTTTTTGGTTTTAATTCAGCTCTTTTCTACTTTTGTATCTCTAGACTTTTACCTTATCATTTTCTCTGTAATTACTGATCTCAGCCTGTACGTGACTTTGCCCCAACTTTTCGAAGGTGTATTTTGTCAGCATAGGCCCTACATTAAGACTAGCCATTCTAAGGACCATGTACGTATGCTGTGATTCCCTCTCTTGGGCCTTCTTTACTTGTTCAAAGTTCTGCATGTTGGGCTCGCTGTATCTTGACAACAATAGACGACAATAGAGCCAGGGCCGTTTCAAGGATTTGTGGGTACACAGTCAAGAATGGTTTTTGAGCCCCCCCCCAAAAGCATCTTCACCTGTGTCCCTCTTAACCCGCCTTTTGTTTCTTATGCCCCTTTTTAAATGTCTTACCCCCTTTAGTGTCTTATCCCCTATTTTTCCCCCATTGTGTGTCTGATACCTCCCTTGTGTATCTCTTACTACCCCCTTTGTGTTTCTTACTCCCCCCAGCCTCTGTGTCTCCTTCTCTCCTAGACCCTTTGTCTTTTACTCTTACCAGCATCTTTGTGTGTTTTTCTTTCACCACCAGCCTGTCTACCTCCCCCCAGCCCCTCTGTGTCTCTTTTTCCTCTTCTCCAGCCCCTCTGTCTCTTTTACCCCCAGTCCCCTTGTATTTCCACTCACAGGCCCCTCTGTGGACTTTCTCACCCCAGGTCCACCTGTGTGTCTTTCTCCCCCCTCCATGTCCATTTGTGATCCTCTCCCCTCCATGTCCCTTAGTGTTCCTCTCCCCTCCCTTCCCTGTCCCTTAGTATTCCTCTCCCCTCCCTCCTCTGTATCTTAGTGTTCCTCACCCCTCCCTCCCCTCTCTCCCATGTCCCTCAGTGTTCCTCTTCCCTCCCCCTTACCTGTCTCTTAGTGCCCCACATTCCCCTTAATGTTCCTCCCACTCCCCACCCCATCTTAGTGTTCCTCTCCCTTCTCTTTTAGTAGTCCCCACTATCCCAGTGTTCATTTTCCCTTCCCTTTCCTCCCCTGTACCTTAGTGCCCCCCTTAATGTTCCTCTCTCCCCCCCTAGTATTCCTCAACCCTCCCTCTTTTTTGTGTTCTTCCCCCTGTCCCATAGCATTCTTTTCCCCTCCCATGGTTTTCTTCCCCCCCACCTCCTATAGTTTTCCTCCCCCCATAGTGTTCCCCCCACCTCCCATGGTTCTCCCCCCACCCCAGTGCCCCTCTATCTCCCCTCTTTGGTCCCGGTGCGTCTCCTACCTTTCTTGTAGCCGAGCAGAGCGGACTGCGGTACAAGAGCTTCAGTTTCCTGTACCCTGTCGGACTGACAGGAAGTGCTCCTGTACCGCGGTGCACACTGCTCCGCTCGGATATGCTATACAGAGTGCCTGGCAGGAGGGAGTGCTGTGCGCCCACCTCCTGCTGGTCACTCCAATCTAGCGCCCCCCGGGCTGGTACGGCCTAAGGCGCCTAAACTTGCACCATGGCTGCAGTAATTAACACATGTCCTAGTTAGGCTTATTTAAGTTTATGTTAAATTCCTACATTGTCATAGACATATCCATGCCAGCTAGTGATGCCAGTCATAACACTAAATGCATGCCTCGTTAACTAAATCTAGCCTACTTCTACCTAACCAGTGACGTTCTGCACCTGATCACCTGCAGACCACACATGATCTAATAGAATATCTAAGCATGATACCTTACTCAGGTTAGCATAGTATGTATGCTATATATGTATGCTTTACTCTTACCGCAAATCTACATGTCTAATATGTTTTATATGCTCTATAAGTTTTACGTGAAGCGTAGACATGTTAGTCTAGCATGTTTAATATACATAAAAAACGAGACAGGTTATTCAGGAGTATACTTGCCAACTGCAATCTTGACATCTTAAAATATGCAACAACTCCTTTTGTTTACTGCATGCTGTACTGTATTACACATTGTTTCAATAAAAGAAAGAATTACAACAAAAAAAAAAAATTATTCCTGAGTCGGAATCACAAACTTATATTTCAATATTAGGACTCAATATATTATATTTAGTTACAAAATGATGTTTCTTTGTTATTGATTATTTTCAAGCAGACTTTTATACCATGTCCACTAATAATAATATGATTTTAACTTAAATTTGTATTATTATATATACCTAGTGACCACTATATTAATCTTACACCTATTTGCTAGTTCATTTATGCAAATAATTTATCAGTGAAACAAGTGGCAGCAAGTCAATGCATAAAGGCATGCAGAAATGATTGTGACGTTCATTTGTTGTTCAAAGCAAACACCAGAAAGGGAATAAATCATATCTAAGTAACTGAGACTGTGGAATGATTGTGGTATAAGTATATTAGAAACTTCTGACATCCTGGGATTTTACACACAATAGTTTCAAGAGTTTACAGAACATGGCGAGAGAAACAACATACATTTATTGAGAGAGTCAGTTTGGTGGGTAGAAATACCTTTTTTAAAGTCAGAGGTCGGTGGAGAATGGACAGCGTGGAAGGAAGATGACAGTAAATGAGATAAGGAAGACAGCAGTAAATGAAATAACCATGCATTACTTTCCAATGCATAAAAGCATCTCTGAGCACTCAATATATCAAACCATTCAACGTACTCTCATTATCTACACGGTCTCAATCTACAGGGGACCTTTGGAATGTGGTGGAATTAGTGATACAATGAATCATTGTGCAGCTGAAACAAAAACTGCAGCAATGATGTGATGCTAACATGTCACTATATTGGAACACTATAGCCCCCCTGCCCCCCCCCCCTTACCCTCCTAAATATAGTAAAATCTTACCCTTATTCCAGTCTGCTGTTGCTAGTTCTGTCCCTGATCTGCCTCCTTGGCTGACATCAATAGAAGTGATTATCTCAGCCAATTACAACACTTTCACATTGGAAAGCATTGGAGTGGCTGGAATTGTAAATTCTGATGATCGCTATGAGGAAAGTTCTGTACAGCACTGCCCCAGGAAGCACCTCTAGTAGCCTTCTGAGGAGTGGTCGCTGGAGGTAAACACTGCCTTTTCTCTGAAAAAAATCTGTGTTTACTGCAAAAGCCCTGCAGGGCCTGATTATATACAAATACAAGAAGCAGTAGTTTTTCTGGTAAATATAGTGTCCCTTTAAGTATGTTTCCAGCAATTTGTGAATCAAGGTCACAAAGAATTCAGGCTGTTGTTAGGTAAATAGGGGAAACTTTCCCAGGAAAATGCCACCAGAAACAAGGGATGAAGAGGTTGTGAACAACCAAAAGTTTACAATCTACACACTTTGTTGCAACTTAAGCTCTGCAAATTTTCATGCATTGAGCTTCTGTCTATGCTCACTTGACTCACAAATACAAGGGGGGAAAAGCACTAGTTATTTCAAGTTTGCAAGATGTGTCCACAATAACAAATGGACTCATGGAGCACTCCTTAACACTATAATGTTAGAAGCATGTATTCCTAACACTATAGTGCTGACTCCCTATTTTGGTATGTGTGTGTGTTCTTCCCCAGAATGAAGAAAAAAGGTAATTGACTTACCTTTTGTCCATCACTGTGCTGGTCTCTCCGAGGCTGGCCCGGACTCCATGGCTGAGATCATCAATCCTGATGATCTCAGCCAATCCAGTGCTTTCCCACTGGGAGGCTATTGCGCATGTGTGGAAAAATGGCACCAGTCAGCATTTTTTCGTAGAGATGCATTGCATTAATGCATCTCCAAGGGGAGCATTCAGCAACTCCATGCAGATTGTGCAAAGATTTATAACCTGACTCAGGAAGATCAATGTAAACACTGCCCTTTCTCTGGTGACAATATGGTGTTCCTTTAATTTGACTGTTGCAAGTTTTCAGTTCTTAAAGTTGGGGTATGATGGAGATCCCATTTAAAACATGCAAGACTGCACTAATGGACTTCACCCCTATAATGTTCAGTCACCTGTAGCTCTCTGAAATTATAATCCTCTACTGCCAGGTCACCAGGAGTCCCTGGACAATTAGAATATATTAGAATAGACAGAGACTGTGCAAACTAGCAGAATTTTTACCTTTCTTTTTTGAGGTTAGAGATAATCAACATATTGTCAGAATAGGGTGCACGTTCACCTGGTTAAATCATGGTGTCACACAGGTTCGTTTTTTTTATAATACTATAGGCATTAAAGGACCACTATAGTGCCAGGAAAACATACTCGTTTTCCTGGCACTATAGTGCCCTGAGGGTGCCCCCACCCTCAGGGTCCCCCTCCCGCCCGGCTCTGGAAGGGGAAAAGGGGTAAAACTTACCTTTTTCCAGCGCTGGGCGGAGAGCTCTCCTCCTCCGATCCTCCTCTTCTCCTCCCCGTCGGCTGAATGCGCACGCGCGGCAAGAGCTGCGCGCGCATTCAGCCGGTCACATAGGAAAGCATTCATAATGCTTTCCTATGGACGCTTGCGTGCTCTCACTGTGAAAATCACAGTGAGAAGCACGCAAGCGCCTCTAGTAGCTGTCAATGAGACAGCCACTAGAGGATTAGGGGGAAGGCTTAACCCATTCATAATTATAGCAGTTTCTCTGAAACTGCTATAATTATGAAAAAATGGGTTAACCCTAGAAGGACCTGGCACCCAGACCACTTCATTAAGCTGAAGTGGTCTGGGTGCCTAGAGTGGTCCTTTAAGCAATTCCCTGAAATATTTAAAGAGTATTCCATACCTCAGAGAGAGTTGCTTTCCTACCTACGCATTAGGAATATACTTCATGGATTTAATCTAAAAATAGAAGAAATGAAAACACTTCCGCCTTTGATATACAAATGTATGGGTAAATTACAGATTATTAAAACTTTATCATTATCTTATAATAACATTATTAATATAGGGAATGAAGCAAAACCTATATATATGCAGAGATGGGAGTTAGATTTAGATTTAGGTCATCAATTTTCTTTATCCAAATGGCATCAGGCAATAAAGCTAACCAAAAAGGCATCATATAATTTACAACACTGGGAATTATATTGTAAATTGAATATGCATTGGTACCTGGTGCCAACTAGGATAGCTCATATATACGCAGGGGCATCAAATTTATGTTGGCGCTGCCTTAAACAGGAGGGCACTCTATATCATATCTTTTGGTTATGTCCAGGTATTGCTAAGCTTTGGAAAGAATTGGGAAGGTTTTTTCAAGATGATTTGAAAGCAGTGATACCTACCCAACCTGAATGTTTT